CAGCCGCAGCCGCGCGAGCCCCGGCGCCCACGCCGCGCCCGCCAGCGAGCGCAGGCCGCGGCCGGAGAGGCCGCGCGACGACGACAGGTCGAGGGCGCGCAGCGCGCGCAGCGGCAGCGCGGCGAGCGCGGCGGCGCCGGCGTCGCCCGTGGCGCAGCCGGCCAGGCCTAGCTCCTCCAAGCCCGGCAGCCACGCCGCGCCGCCCAGCGCGGCGACGCCCTCCGCCCCCAGCGGGTTGCCCTCCAGGTCCAACGCAGTCAGCCCCTCGAGCGCCGCCTCTGCGAGGTCGGCGGCCTCGCGCGGCCGCAGCCGCGCCCGCCGCAGCGACAGCCGCCGCAGGCGGCCGCCGAGCGCGCCCAGCGCGCGCAGCGCGCGCGAGCCCGGGGCGAGCATAAGGCAGTCGAGGAGGGCGTATCCCAAGATCCCGCCCTCGTCTCTGTCAAGGCACAGCGAAGTGATGCCCGCCGCCCAGGGCGCGGCGGCCAGTAAGAGCGGGGCGTCCTCGGGGTTCGTCCAGAGGCGGGAGAGCGCCGGCAGGCGCGCGGCCGCGAGGGCGGCGGCGGCCGCGGGGCCGAGGGGGCGGCGGCCGCGGGTAGCGACTTGGAGCTCCTGTGGGGCGGCGAAAGGTGACGTGTGGAGCAGCTTGTTGGCAGCGCTACCTAAAGGAACTGTCAGTGACAGTGAGATTGCTGGGCATCAGGGGCGGCAAGGTCGAGGCAATGCTATACAGTGACCTCCAGCCGGCTAGCCAGCCGTGCGGGACAAAGGGATCGGCGCGAGGGCGTGGGTTGCATCAAGGCGCGCCAAGACCCGGCACTCCGCCCTGCGCACCCGGGAAGCCCAGAGGAGCCCTGGGAGCCCGTTGGGCGGGGCATCCCAGCGCACTCCCAGCCGGTCGAATGCGGACAGCCGCGTGGGTCGGTCGGCGGTGAGGCGCGCACTGCCGCACCCCGGCCGGATCCCTGCAGCGGGCCCGACGCACCTCGAGCCGCAGCCATTCCTCCGCCGCCAGCGCGCCGCACATCGCCGCTGCGTACGCGCCCTCGTCCCCGGCCGCCTCGCAGAACGGCGGCCGCGGCAGCACCAGCGCCCGCAGCGCCGGCAGGCGCGCGGCGGCCGCCACCAGCAGCGCGGCGCCGGGCAGCGGCGCGTGCAGCTCGAGGCGCGCCAGGCGGGCGAGGCGCAGCAGCACGCCAGCGAGGGCGCGCGCGCCGCGGGCGTCCAGGGTGTCTGTGGGGACGTGTCTGGTTGTGTTGAACAGACGCACATCGCGGATGACGAGAGTCTCGAGGGTGCACGCCAGCGCCGGCAGCGCGGCGGAGAGGGGCTCGAGGTAGGACTCGTGGTTGCAGGCGAAGTCGAGCAGGCGAAGCGACGTCAGCCGCCGCGCGGCCGCGGCGAGGTCTGTGAGCAGGTAGGCGTCCCTGCGCTGGAGGCGCGTGCCGACGCGGAGGCAGCGCACGGCGCCGTCCAGCGAGGCGCGGGTGGCGCGGCTGGTGAGGCGCAGGCTGCTCAGGGTCTCCGGGCACGCGGCGCAGCGGCCTGCGCGGGCAGGCGCGAACGAGGGCAGGTGAGGCTGGCCGCAGTAATCAGCAGCATGGTGTGAGCACCCCCGTCGCAATAGTAATGACATCACCATAGCAGTTGCTTTCGCGGCCATTGGTGTACTCATGTGCACATGCGCGGCAGCCAGCAGAGACTGCGTACCATCATTAGTCTGTGATTGTTGTTTCTGCCGTGCTGTTTGTACGCCTGCAGCCATGCGTGGTCATCACAGGGCCCTGGCGCGGCCGGCGCGCTGGTTGACAGTGCTCGCGGTGGTCTTCTCGGGCTGCTCGTTTCCAGTTCAGACACAGTGAGAGTAGAATCTTGTCTGCAGCGCGACCGGGGTCAAGTAAAGCGCACCGCATCCGGCTGTGGCGCGATGCCGCGCGCACCCCGCTGCTCTCGGCGTGAACATCTTGCTAACCCCCTCCCCCCAAGTCGTACAATGAAACAAGGGGCAAGCATTCTGCACATACATTATTGCATGTCCCTGAAATGCGCATCAAGCGGCCCGGAGGCTCGTGCCGCTGGCATCCTGCGCTGCGGCAACAGGGCTCGGCCGCGGACCCGCTCTTGCAGTGCCACACGCCCGCCCTCACCACGGACGCACTCCCACCCACACGTGATGCGCACAGGGGCGCCTGCGCGAAAAGCTACGGCTGCGCCGGCGGGGCCGTAGCCGCGGTCGACTGCTGCCTCAACGCTGACGGCTGCCTCACAGGCCTCACGCTGCGGTACTCCTCCGCGGGCGCCGCGCCGCTCGCCGCGACGTGCGACGGCGCCGCCGACGCCTGCAACGCGGCCAGCGGCAGCATGCGGGTGACCTTGGACGGCGAGCTGATCTCAAACGTCACCGTCGAGACCAAAAAGTGGGGAAGCAGGCGCTGCGTCGCCGCGCTCACGATGGTCACCCGCAGCGGCGCGCTCAAGCGCTGTGAACCCTCAAGTACCAGTACGTGCTGCACCGCTGAGCCTCCGACAAGCGCAAAAACACCCCGCCTGCCATGGGGTGCTGAGCGCTGGCCGTGTCGCCCTGCGACCGTCCAATCAAGCGCCTTGGTGCCCACCTGCCTGCGACCAATTTGGGCTGCGGTGCGCGGGCACCACCGTGAACACTGTGCTCGGACCAGCGCCGGCCGGGCGAGCTGGCGCTCACGCCGCCGAGAAGCTGCAGGCAGCAGCCGCGTCGCCCCCGCCGGCCCTGACGCACCGCTCCCTGAGCAGCGACAGCACCGCCGCGGAGGCCGAGGCGATGGCGTACTTGAAGTCCGTCGCAAAGTCCTCGGGAACCTCAAAACCTTGGAGCCACAGGCCCTTGTTGGTGCTGCTTTTGACGAGGGTGTGCACAGCGTGGTCGCTCATGCCTCGGACAATTGTGTAGGGGATCTTGCGGCCGCCGGCGAGGCCGGCGAAGCGCTCGAATGCGGCTGGCGTTCGTCCAATGCATGGTTGCAACCTAGGACGTACCAATTTGTGCCCAGGTCAGGTCAGAACTTCTAGGAAGCACCAACTTGTGCCTTGGGCACAAAAAAGTGGATTCTAGGAAGCATCAACATGTGCCTAGGACAGATTGGGCACATCTAGGACTGGCCATTGGGCGGTCCTAGAATCCAATTTTTTTTTGTATTTCTTGATTCACTCCTGTTTATTATTTCATTTCTAATACACATCCACCATCAACCAGACTTTGAACTTAGCATCAACCATGGCCTCTCCCTTTGCATACCTCACTACTCCTGCCTCAGCCAAGCGTCCCAGGGCGTTGTTTGAACAGTACACAGATACACTCGCCACCACCAGCTACATCAACGTTCCACTCTTCATGAAATGGTCAGCTCCAGCCCTCAACCGCCTCATGCAGCGCCTGATGGCCTCTAATGGCATGATCAACGTCAACAGCCACTGCACCCACCAGGAGATTATCAACCTAGGTTATGAGGCTGTAGAGACAGTGACAGACCAGCGGGTGGAGGCGTACAGGAACTACCTGAAGGAGATGAACTACTCAAACAAGGTGAGTGTGGATTGTCCACTGCATTGCAGCAAATGTTGGACAGTCCAATGCTGTGCAGCATTCACTGCATTGCAGCAAATGTTGGACAGTCCAATGCTGTGCAGCATTCACTGCATTGCAGCAAATGTTGGACAGGGCTTGGCAGTGTGTTATGTACCGTGCAATATTCAGGACAGGGCTGATTGTTTGGCCAGGAATCATCAGCAGGAATCAACAGCAGGATTCCACTTTATTTACTTCCAAAATTTGATACCAGTTGTCCCCCCATTTCTCCCTCCATTTTCCCTCCAATCCCCCTCAGGATGTCAACACCCTTGTCAATGCAGTCAACAAATTTCGTGAGGACCAAGGCCGGCTGGCAGCTTCTTCCATTGCCTCTGGGGTCACCCATGTAGGCAATGTGATAATGTCCAGGCAGCCAGATGGCACAGCAGTCAGGCAGACCAAGAAGTACCTGTACCTCTTTGCAGACAGCAAGCAGATTCAGCTGCCAGGGCGCAAGCCAATCTTCCACTCCCTCTGCTCTACGAGTGAGGGGGCCTTCTATGGTCAGCTGACCTTGAAAAACTCCAATTTTCTCACGGGCCTGCCAGCAGACAAGGCCATCTTTACAGAGCTTCTGGGCCGCAAAGATTCAGTGCAGTTCTATGCACACGGCATTGGTTACCTCTTCTACCGCCGCTGCATCCAGAACATCACCTATGAAGACGACCTCAGGACTTATGTTGGACTGGTGAGGGTCAAACTGCTGAATGTTTGTTTGTCTGCAATGGTCTGAATGCTGCAGTTGATTGGATTTGGGGATTAGGCAATTATTGCATTATTG